ATATTAATTGTTTTATAGGTGTTTTACTGTAATACTTTTTGAATTATACATGGCATTGTGTTTTTTAGGGTGGAAGGAAAAGTTCATAAACTTAACAGAAAATGTCTTGACAGAAATTTAGTTTTTGTTTTTACATGGCATGTTTTCTTACTGTGTATGAGTGACACACTTAAGTTTAATAGCTAGAGCTTTGTTTAAATCAAACTAATCCATAGTATGAGCAGATGCAACAGTGATGCTTGCGTAAGAAAGCTCCAGTGGTTTGTGTTGGAAACAGGCGTTTGTCTGAATAAGCACTTTCAGATTTGACTGTGAGGCAGAAATGTGCTTTTGAAGAAACAGCTGCCGTCACATACGGGCTCGAATCTGATAAGAGTTGCTGTTTTAGTGCTTTCCCGCAGACATGCCTTCAAATGCACTACCTTTGCTGTAGTTTTTCCGCTTGACGTCTGTGTTTTTGTCTGTCTGTGCAGGGTGTGTTGGAGAGTTTTGTGGGGACGGCGTTGACTGGGGCTGTGTTCTGTCTGTTTGCGGGTCAGCCTCTCACTATCCTGAGCAGCACCGGACCCGTGCTCGTCTTTGAGCGCCTGCTCTTTAACTTCAGCAAGTGGGTGTCACATACACACAGAGACATACTAAAGCATGTGCACACAAGAACATACGAAAATAATAAGGCATCGGCGGATGATTTTGTTAACAATAGCTGTTAGAAAAAATGTGATATGTGGTGAAATCATTACTACATTACTATATATATAAATACATTATATGTGACCCTGGAAGCTGAATAAATAAGCTTTCCAGTGATGTATGGTTTGTTAGGATAGGACAATATTTGAAAATCTGGAATCTGAGGGTGCAAAAAAATCAAAATATTGAGAAAATTGCCTTTAAAGTTGTCCAAATGAAGTTCTTAGCAATGCATATTACTGAAAAATCTATAATTTTGACCCATACGATGTATTTTTGGCTATTGCTACAAATATACCCCAGCGACTTAAGACTGGTTTTGTGCTCCAGGGTCACATATATTATTTGAATATATTAATTATCATTATAATTATTATATTATTATTAATAATTATAGTTGCTGCATTTTTACAGTGGGAAAAATAAAATAAATCTTTAATAAATGTTTGCATTAATAATAAAACCAAAAAATATGAATAATTGTTTTTGTGTGTTGTCAATAATATTTCATAATATAATAATTAAATTAATAATAGCCACAATCAGTCATTATTTTACTGTGCAGTATAGACTGTAGGTTGTTCACCATTTTAATCATTCGTTACAACTTGACTCATAATACAAATACTTTATTTGTTATTAATTATTTACTTTGTAAATATCGTACTATTATATTCCTATACGATTTATTTGGATTTTTTATAAAAAACATTAATAAAAGTCACACAAAAAAAAACATTTTGCCCGTGCAATCTAGGTTCTTAACTGTATGCTTTTTTATATTAATTGTTCATTGCAGCTAATAATTAAATTAATAATAGCCACAATCAGTCATTATTTTACTGTGCAGTATAGACTGTAGGTTGTTCACCATTTTAATAGTTCGTTACAACTTGACTCATAATACAAATACTTTATTTGTTATTAATTATTTACTTTGTAAATATCGTACTATTATATTCCTATACGATTTATTTGGATTTTTTATAAAAAACATTAATAAAAGTCACACAAAAAAAAACATTTTGCCCGTGCAATCTAGGTTCTTAACTGTATGCTTTTTTATATTAATTGTTCATTGCAGCTTGATTCATTAATTGATTTGATGTGTTTATATGATTTATTCCAGTCAGATTTTATAGCCAAGCTTATCTGTTTCTCATTTAATTCAGAGAATTATGTTTAAACATCAGCTTGGATTTGGATCCATCCACAAACCCAGACAGTAAATCAGTAGAGTTTATACTTCCTTTCTGTATTGATGTGTCATATTTAGTTTGACCAAAAACAAGCAGCAATCCCAGGAACTCTTGTCATCTGAGGCACAAAACGTTCTGAGTTATCTGGAATCAAGATACATCTTATTGTTTTCCCGTTTCCGCCAAGGTCCCGTCTCTCTCTCTCTCTGTGTGTGTGTGTGTGTGTGTGTGTGTGTGTGAATACATTTCTCTGTCTCTCTGTGAGGTTTCAGGTTTCTGTGTTTATGTTCCATTATGAATAATTGAGTCAGATTTCATGTCTGCTTCTGCTGGCGTGTATCAGTTCAGCTTCACTGAGAGTTTCCATCTAAAGCGCTGAGTCTAGAATTATGGATTGTCATATATTAGATGAATCAGATGTTGCATGCTAACATGATTAGTACTTTCTGATCCAAAAACGTCTGGATTCAGTCTTTAACGCAAGGAACATATGAGAAGAGTCGTTTGGAAATGAATCCAAAAACATACATAACAAATGTATGTGTGTGCTTACATTTTTAATAAAAAATTAAGATAAAATACATTATTATTATTATTCAATTAAATTCAATTAAAATAAATACAAATAATAATTAAATACACACACACACACACACACATATTTATGTATAAAATAAAATAAATAATTAAATAAATTAAAATGTAAAAATTAATTAAAATAAAACTGTATATGTATATTTAATTCTTCATTTAAAAATTACGGTTATAATTATATATTTTTAATATACATATATTATTTTTGTTCTTAAAATGTAAATATTTATGTAAATAAATATATGTATAAATATATATGTAACTATAAATGTAAATGTAATGTAATATATATAGTGCCTTCCTTTTCTAAATGATTAAAATTAATTAAAAAAGAATAAAAATGTATATACATTTAATTCTTAAAATAAAAAAATATGTTTATATATTTAATTCTTAAAAAATATTTTTATATTTTAAGTATATATATATTATTTTTATTTAAATATATATAATATTTAAAATGTAATAAAAAATTTAAATATATATACAGATATATTTTAATGAGTTGGGAGATTTAAAAAGGAGAATAAAAATTGCTTTCTGTTTAGAGCATTGCATTATGGGATCAGTGGCACATAAGTTCTCTGGCTAAGTATTAAATATTTTGAGTAAAAAAGAAGCCCATCCAGATAATCCATGCAAAAAGGAAATTTGCATACTCAGTTCTGCATGCGAGTTTGTTTCGAAACCAGAGGAAAGTATGACATTTCAAACATATTGCGAATCATTTTTGTTCTCATCCTCTGATTGGCTGATTGTTTTCCTCCTAATCTGGGTTTGTAGGCGGGTGATGCTGATGTGTGTTTTTGATTGGTTCAGGGATAATGATTTCGACTATCTGGAGTTCCGGCTGTGGATCGGTCTGTGGTCTGCTTTCTTGTGTCTGGTCCTGGTCGCCACAGACGCCAGCTTCCTGGTGCAGTACTTCACCCGCTTCACAGAGGAGGGGTTTTCTGCTCTCATCAGCTTCATCTTCATCTACGACTCCTTCAAGAAAATGCTCAAACTGGCTCACCATCATCCAATCAACTCAGACTTCAACATGGACCTGGTCACGCAGTACGGATGCCACTGCAGTCCTCCAGACGGTGAGACAAGGATCCTGTGAAGGAGAAGATCAGAGAGAAAGTGTGTGTGCACCAGACTGAGACAAAATAATCAGTATTAATCTTATCATTTACATTTTTATTAAAGTTATTATTATTAATATATTAATACAATAATAATAATAATATATTAACATGGTTGCTTGTTTTCAGAGAAAATATCTTAATATTTAAAGGTTTATTTTTTATTGACAGGTTATTACTTTGAATTTTTTACATTTTCTTTTTTCTTTTTCTTTTAATTATGCACATGATTTGGATATTCTTATCAAAAAACAACCCATAATACTCATGTTTTGTGTTTATTTAATATTATATTGCATTTAACAGTGCAACATACAGTTTTCTAGTGTGCTTTTTTCGTTAGGCATTTGGTAAATTTATGGTAAATTTTCAGTTATTTTAGCGTTTCCACATTTCTTTTATCATTTTTCTACATGCTATTTATTTATTTTTATTTTTATATTTTTGTAATAATAATAATATAGTAACATAAATACTTGTTTTCAGAGAAACATATCAGAGAAATATCTTAATATTTAAATGTTTATTCTTTTTTTTATTCTATTGCCAAATTTTACTCTATTTTATGATTTACATTTTTTTAATTATTATACATGCTTCTTTCTTTCTTTCTTTCTTTCTTATTAATTAATCTATCTGTTTTATTAATTAATTTATTTTTTATAAATATAATAATATACTAATAGTAATATATTAACACATTAATACTTGTTTTCAGAGAAAATATCATATTTAAAAGGTTTTTTTCACCCTCGTGACAAATTGTTACTTTGAATTTTAGACATTTTCTTTTAGTTTTGCACATGACTATATTTTTATTAGAAATCAGGAAAAAATACTGATCAAGAAAATGAGTGAGAGAGAAACTGACATTCAACATCAGGTTTAAAATAAAACTAAACTTATGTTTTGTGTCTTTGATTCAAAAGGCAACATTTCAGCTGTGTATATGGAGAACATGGAGGCTCTGATGAACAGCACTGGACAGGTTTGTGTTGATCATTATTAAAATATTACAATACCCACAAAGCATGAGTACATTTAGATCAGTTAAAAAAAATGGCCAGTTACTGCACAAATACAACACATGTGATATTTAAACAGATTGAATGGTTTTGTATTTATATGAATGGGGATCATTGTTGATGTTTGTGTCTGCGCAGCACCATCTGAACGCGACCTGGGCGTCTTTGACTCGCTCTGAGTGTTTGGAGTGGGGCGGTCAGCTGCTGGGACCGGCGTGTGAATTCGTCCCTGATATCACACTGATGTCCTTCATCCTGTTCTTCGGCACATACACCTGCTCCATGGGTCTGAAGAAGTTCAAAACCAGCCAGTTTTTCCCAACTACGGTAAAAAAACAAACAAACACACACACACACACACGTCATCAGCACTCATTAATGAGGATCTTAATTGGCTTATGCTTTACTCATGAGGATATTCCTCCTCACAGGACTAGGAAACCCTGCCTACACACACACACACACACACACAGAGACTCACACAGACACGCACACACACACACACACACTCTCATACACACAGACACACACTCACATACACACACACACACACACTCTCATACACACAGACACACACTCACACACACACACTCACACACACACGCTCTCATACACACACTCACATACACACACACACACTCTCATACACACACACACACACACACTCACACACACACACACACACGCACACACACACACACACACACACACACAGGCTTTAACTTCAATCTGAAACTCATTGCTTCTGAATTAAAGCAGTATTTTGGTTTGGCAGCTGTAATGGAAAATAGTCCATCACTGATCCGTCCAAAAATGCTGTAGCATATTACCAATCTGCACTCATTAAAACATCATAAATCTCCATTAATCTTCACTAATTAGAGATTAGATTTAAAGATTATAGTTTTCACTTTCCATTCTGTTATTTATAGTGCATTTCGTGTCAATGATCAGTGATGCATTTGTTTTTGTTTTTGATTATTTAGTATTAAATTTACCAATGCAACATGCAGTTTACTAATGAGCTTTTTTTTTTTCATTTGGCAATTTTGATTTAGACATTCTTACATCCTCTTTTTTTACATACATGTAAAATGCGCCCGTCCTGCATACGTTTTTAGTTGTTATAACTCTTTTGTTATACTTATAAAACATATAAATCACACAGTAATTATTAAACATGCTATTCATTTTGATTTGAGTTGATTTGATTGAGATCAAGTGTTGTCCTATTTTTTTCATTGAATATCTTGCTTTGCTTATATATATGGCACATTATTCAAGTAAAATGGTTTTATATTGATTTTACGTGAACTACAAAAAAAGAAAGAAAAAAGAAATGGAGACTGCATCTACAAAGTTCCACTTTCCCTTTATGCATTTATTTTATAAATTATAACATGAAACAACAAAAAATACTGATAAAAATTTATAAATGTATTTATAAAAAATAAACTAAATAAAATATGCTGGAAAATTTTATTTTACATAATCTGAACTGTTTGAACTGTCCATGTGAAGTCATATGCTGAATAGTTGTTTATATTTTGCAGGTCCGCCAACTGATCAGTGACTTCGCCATTATTCTGGCCATTTTGATCTTCTGTGGTGTGGATGCGCTGGTCGGTGTGGATACACCCAAGCTACTAGTGCCAAGTGAATTCAAGGTGTGTATGTGTGTGTTGAATGGGTTTAGTGTCTTTGTGAGGGCACTTCTGTTACAGTAATCCTTTAATAGTCCCAAACCACTCACTGAAGTCTGACACTTGAAACCTCTAATACGTGTGTGTGTGTGTGTGTGTGCGTCACAAATAGACACAACTCTACAAGGTATGTCATGTGAGAATCCAGTGCTTGTATTGTTACTGCAAAATCTGTATTGGCACAAGCTGAATCAATATAACTTTCACTAGTAATGCTAACAAACCATAATAAATGATATAATATATAACAGATCAATAGATAATTTAGTTTCAGATATAATTATGATGCTCATATTTCCATTTAAATGTAGATACTATAACTATATAATATGCATAAATTATATAATCTCTGCTAATGAAAATTATTATAAAGTGAATGTTGAATATATATATATATATATATATATATATTCTGACAATTTTCAAGCGACAGTTGAAAACTCGCCTCTTTCTTCACTATCTGACTTCATCCTAATAAAAAAAAAATTATCTTTTTCTCTTTTCTTTAATCTTTCCCTGTCTAGCTTGTACTTATTTGAACAATGCTTGAAACTTGGTATTACGAGCACTTCCTGTGTCTATTTGCCTCTTTAAAGGGTTAGTTCACCCAAAAATAAAAATTAGGCTGCGTTTTACTCACCCCCTCAAGTCATCCTAGGTGTATATAACTTTCTTCTTTCAGACGAATCCAGTCGGAGTTATATTAAAAATTGTCTTTGATCTTTCAAGCTCTATCGTTGTACTCATGTAAATATATCAGGGGTGCAACGGTTCAACTGACTCACGGTTCGGTTTGTATCACGGTTTTAGAGTCACGTTTTCGGTACGGTTCGGTATGTGCTATGTTTAGGGAAAAAAACTATACTGCCAAATAAAAAGAAAGAAAATAAGAACAAATAATCTAAATACAAGCAACAGCACAAATAAAATAAAGCAATAAGCTCGTGCCTAACAACGCCCCTTGGCTGTTATAAATTCACTGTAAACCACGGCTTCACGTGGCTTATTGCTTTTATAAAATGAAAATATTATATTCAAGATACAAACTAAATATAGTATCAATATATAATTTTTTTAATTTTATTTAAATTTCTAATTATCCTGTATTTTTCTACCCTAAATAGCCGACGAGTCCAAATCGTGGTTGGTTTGTTCCTCCGTTTGGAGGAAACCCGTGGTGGGTTTACCTGGCCTCGTTCTTGCCTGCTCTTCTGGTCACCATCCTCGTCTTCATGGACCAGCAGATCACGGCGGTCATCGTCAACCGCAAGGAGCACAAGCTGAAGGTACAAACAGCTGATGTGATGTTACACAGACTCTGGGTCTGTTGTGGAGTATGAGGGATTATGGTCAGAGGATTACACCGCTGCACGCTAACCTAACGCTAACAGGAATCAGATCTCAAACACACACTACTGCGCTTAATATGGAGAACTGATCATTTACTATAGGTAACGAGTGTTATTTGTCTCGCTCTGAGTGCAGAAGGGAGCCGGGTATCACCTGGACCTGTTCTGGGTCTCCATTCTCCTGATCGTGTGTTCGTTCATGGGTCTGCCGTGGTACGTGGCAGCAACCGTCATCTCCATCGCACACATAGACTCCATCAAGATGGAAACTGAGACCTCGGCACCCGGGGAACAGCCCAAATTCCTTGGAGTCAGGTGAGGTTGAAATCTTGAGGAAAACTTCGCTTAAGTCACTCCACACTGTATTTTAACTAGGAAAAACTTGATTACAGCATCAAGAGGTTTGTCCATCCTCACTAAAAGACAACCAGTCACAACCAATTAAACAAGTTTAATATGCCATTATATGGAACAGCATTTTTGACCAATGAGATCTCACTGTGGGCGGGGCTATGCAGCATAATGTCAATAAATAGACCATCAACAACCAGCATAATGTAGAAAAGTTGACCTGTATGGATTTTTTATATGCCTGATTTCAATATCTACATAGAATGTGGATGATATAGATTATAATATACTAAAATAACAGTAGCACTTTACAATAAGGTTTCATTTGTGAACATCAATTTATTATATTAGGTAACATGAACAATACCTATATAGGATGTATTAATCTTAGTTAATGTTAAGTTCAACATTTACTGGTACATTATAGAAATAAAAAGTTATCTGTTAACAATAGTTAATGTACTCTGAACTAATATGAACATTTTTGTTAGCTAACATTAACAAAGGTTAATAAATGCTGTAAAAAATTGTTCATTGTTAATTCATGTTAGTTAATGCATTAACTAATGTTAACAAATGAGACCTTATTGTAAAGTTACCAAAATAAATAAAACTAATAAAATAATAATAATAAAAATATTAGTAACTATATAGACATATTTTTAAAAATTATAAAAAAGGACTAAAACTTTAACTAAACTTAGTGAAAACAGCAAATGTCAAAATAAAATCTAAAATGATAATAGTGTATCAGTGATAATAAAATAACACTGGTGTAAATGTAAATATAATGCCAATGTATATACAATTTAATGACATCACATGAGATAAACACCTATTTTGCACAGTATTTACCCAAAACTCATTAATAAAATGAAAAGCAGAATTAGTTTATTATCCATCAACGTTTATTAGGCATTGATGAGGCTAACATTAGGAGGACTCAACACTCCACTTTTATCGCTCAAGCAGACTTAATGCTAATAATTTCAAAATGACTGAATATCTAAAATGAACGATCTGATATGTCAGTTTATGACTAGTCATGTGTTGCTTTATTGTCACGTGTGTTTTGAATCAGTTCACATGAGTGTGGCTCATGCTTGTTTTGTTGATTGTTGCTCATGCAGGGAGCAGAGAGTCACAGGAACAATGGTGTTTATTTTGACGGGTCTGTCGGTCCTCATGGCCCCCATTCTGAAGGTTTGAACTTTCTTATTTATTAAACTCACCCCATTATGTCTTTTTGCATACTAAAACTGATCTTTCTCCAGGAGAAGAAGACAGAATGTTAAAGAGGTTTATAGTGTTTAATGCATGTGTGTTTGCTTTGAGTTCATGTATCCTACTAAGAGTTGACAAAATATGCTTTTTTTTTTTAGCACATAAACATATTTATCCGTTTCTTTCTCTTCTGGGAAAACAGACCACAAATATGAATGACTCATGACTCTGGCTTGTCAAATAGCAGGATCATAATTCATATCTGTAATGTAAACAGAAGAGTATTTAAGAAAATACCAGTTGTGTCTACAAAATATTTCTTAGGGTATTTTAAGCAATTCTAGTTATTTTTCTTAAGTGAATTAAATAGGGTTTATAAATATATAATAAATATAGGGCTTATATTTATTTATCCCTGTATCCACAACTCCATTAAACTTGATTACTTAAATTCATTTATGGAAAAAAAAGGTTAAAAATTATTCTTGATAGGTACAGTATGTATGTATATATATATATATAAACAGATAACTCCGCTGTTAACAATTTTTAAAAATCATGTTTTTTCATTGTACATTCCAATTAATCTCAATCAAACTGCAGTTGGGTTATTTTGATTAGATTAAAAAATAACTAAAAAATACAGCTAACTAACACAATAAAAAGCAATAAAAACATGATAACATAATAAAAAAAACATGATTTTTGAAAATTTTAAAAAACGGAGCAACATTTATATAAACATTTATAATGTGCATTATTTATAAATATTATCACAATAAAGATCATATTTTAATAAATGTTAATTATTTAATAAATTAATTTATAAATGTCTAAATATTTATAAATAAATATATTTCTAAATATTGATATATTTATATATTTAATGTTTATATATACATACATTAGATATATTAAATATATAAACATTTATAATGTGCATTATTTATAAATATTTAGACATTTATCAATTCTTTATAAATATTATCTTTATTGTGGTATTACTATCACTGTACCATGATACTGGCACAGTACTTTTTTCTGTAGGTTGGTACCTCCAAGGCACCATGATATAATTGTGATGTCCAAAAAAAACATTAAACTATGGTATAATTGTATACTTTTTCAGTGGTTAGTGCAGTTACTGTCCCCTACTGGACATTTACTTTGTAAACATCACAGTTTGGTAAAGGATATTGACGTGTGAGTGGGAAAAAACTCATACCAGGATGTAGAGGCTTTAATTTCTGTGTGCTTTCTGTCAATAACACAAATTCTTTTTCATTATAAGCTGTTTGCATTGCTCAAATCTCCTCCTTTGGAGCATATTATGTTGACAAGGTTGGATTTGGGGTGTGTTTGGTGGATACTGCTTTTGTCTTTGCGTAACCTTTGATTCTGTATGTGTGTACAGTATTGCTCTGTGTGTTTGAAGACAAACTGAAGCGGTATTATTTATATAATACTGTAATACAGTGTGTTTGGTTTGATCCCTGCAGTTCATCCCTATGCCCGTGCTGTACGGTGTGTTCCTCTACATGGGTGTTGCTTCTCTCAATGGCGTCCAGGTGAGTTCATGCAGCTCAGCGAGTGTCATGTTACTGTTCGGCAGAAAGAGACCCTAATCTTCCTGACTACCTGATCTCCGCTGGAGCCTGGGAACCCGACCGATTCCAGAACATGATCTGAGTTCAGGAAAGTCGGGATAAATCAGGCGTATGCAGGATTTTCAGGGTGTAAAATGCCTGGATAAACCTAGAGCACTTCAGGACAGATTTGTGCATCAAAATGTGTTTAAATAATGGTGCTTGCTGTTAAACCATGATGCATAAGTCATCCCAACCCTTTTACAGAAATAATAATCTATATTTTTTTATGATGTAAATATTATATTTTTATTATATTAGTCAATTTAATTTAATTTATTATTATTATTTTGTAATTTATTTTACATTTTTGTGACAACTGGATTTTTTAAATGTATTTTGTATATAATAAATATACAAAAATATTACATTTTATTTTTAAAGTAGAATACATATATATTATATATTAAAATGAAATAATAATATAATAATTTTATTAATTAATTTTAATATAAAATTAGATAAAGATAATTGTATATTTAATTTTCAAAAAATTTTTTTTTTTTTTACATTTTTGTGACAACAGGATATCTGCCTCTGAATAAACTATGAATACATCTTTTTTTGTGTGTCTGTAGTTTATGGATCGTCTCCAGCTCTTGTTGATGCCTGCAAAACACCAACCAGATCTGATCTACCTGAGACACGTACCGCTCAGACGGGTTCACTTGTTCACCTTCATACAGGTGTGTGTGTGTGTGTGTGCTCACATGCTCAGCCTCCTACAGGGCTCAGATCTATAGCTTTAGTGCTGTATATGCATGATGAATGTGTGTGTCTGTCACAGGTGCTGTGTTTGGCTCTGCTGTGGGTGCTGAAGTCAACAGTAGCAGCCATCATATTTCCTGTGATGGTGAGTCAAAATACACTCAGTCGGTTTAATGGTCATGTGCACTGCACACAAAACTGGTTTATAGTTTATACTTTTTAGCATTAAAAGGCCTTTAGTATGAATTAGGTTGTGGTTAGCATGTCTTTTGCTATGAAATCTTTATTATTTTTTATGACGTAAACATAATAACTTTTATATCTTTATTAGGGCCCGAGCACCGGTGGTGCGAGGACCCTATTGGAATCTCATTTTTGAGAGCCTAAACATGCTCAAAAACTCACGAAACTTTGCACACGCGTCAGAACTGGCGAAAAATTACGTCTGATATGGGTTTCAGAATTAGGTGTGGCAAAATGGCTCGATAGCGCCACCTGTAAAATTTCAACGAAGTGCCCCTTGAGCTACATTTCACGTACATGTACGAAACTCGGTAGACACACACCAGTACCTACAAAAAAGTCTCTGGGTTCAAAATCCGAAACCCAACAGGAAGTCCGTTGTTTTGAGTTTACTGTATGATTTTTGCGCAGTTTTTGCTATTTTTAGGCCTCGTACTTTAACAAACTTCTCCTACAGTTTTAATCGGATCATCTTCAAATTTGCTGAGTGTAATAGCAACATATTAAAAAGTGTCAGCAAGTGTTAAATAGGCAAGCAACAAGCTACAAATGAGCTAAAACATGCTAGCAACACTTAGTTAAGTGCTAAAGCATGTCATTAATGCAATGCAACAGGAAGTTGCTGTAACTCAGGCAAACAATGTCCGATCTGCCCTAAACTTCACACGTTTAATAACAGTTGTATCCTGACCACATGTCCATGCCCATATTCAGTTACAGTCATAGCGCCACCTGCTGGCAACAGGAAGTGTCACGTTTACCCCAAACTTCACATGTCTTGGCATGAACACATCTAAAGACAAATATTCAGTTATAATCATAGCGCCACCTGTTGGCAGCAGGAAATTTGGCACATATAAATGACTTTGACATATTCCTATATTTATCACTTTAAAAGCATATTACCCACCGTTTGCTGTTTTCCTATGGCCACCAGGTGGTGGCGAGCCCGGGTGCGAGGGCCCTTTCATCGCTGCTTGCAGCTTTAATTAATATTTGAAGTTGAACATTTACTGTACTGAAGCTTAGGTTTACTTGATTATCCATACATCATTTTTTAGAAAAATCACGAGTCGCAAATATGATCATCAAGCTTTTGAGAACTGTTTATTTGTTCTTCTCTCAATCATCATTGTATTGCATTGCATTATATGTTTTGATCCTAAAACTAAGCATTTATATAACATCTTACTAAGACATTATTGGAACATAAAGAGTGAAAACTGATATTTATATGCACTTTATGTATGTAGCGTAATACTTTATACTGTTATAAAGATCTCATTGACTTCTATCAGAATTTCATCTTTCTTTTTGACCACATAAATGTCAGAAACTGCATCAAATTGCATATTTTTGCTCAGTTTGGGCCTCTGAATAAAACTGAGCTACATTTTCTTTAACAGAAAAGAGCACCTTATTCTTACTATATTATACAATATGAGCCTGATGTATCAAATATAACAATCTCTTATTTTATCTTATTAAAGGTTCTATATTTCCAAAACTAAATAAATAAATAAATTTCAGACTATTATTTCACATGTCAATCTATACAGGGTTAATCTTCACACATCTGAGATCTCTTTCTGTTCTTTTCCAGATTCTTGCATTGGTTGCGGTGAGAAAGGCCATGGATTATGTGTTCTCGCAGCACGATCTCAGTTACCTGGATGACATCATGCCCGAGAAAGACAAGAAGAAGAAAGAGGACGAGAAAAAGAAGAAGAAAAAGAAAGGCAGCATTGACAGCGACATGAACGACGTGAGTCTCTCTCTGTGTTAGAAACAAGTGCTTCAGTAAAGCTGCAGTGGTAAGAATGTCCCACCCCTGCGTTTACAGTCGGATTTTCCAGCCAATGAGAACGTTCCCAGCATAAAGATCTCCATGGAGGCCATGGAACAGGAGCCAGTGCTGGGGGAGAAGCCCTCAGACCGTGAGTAAACACACAGGGTCTCCCTCCACCTCACGCAGGGGCTCCAGCCGTCACTCTGTCCTCTTACTAACAACTTTAATAATGGCCTCTCCCTCCCCTCTTCCAGCTTTCCTCACGCGCTCCTCCAGAAAACATCTCTGAATCCCGTCTTTCTCTTTGTTTATGCTGTTGCTTGGTTTCCTGGTCTGTGTGGATCAGTAACAGATAACATACGCTTAATCTCTGTGTGTACTGTATGTATTAATAAAGTCAACATGCAATCAAAATGGACCCTATTTACTTTCCTAATACATGTTCCTGGTCTTTTCATGCGTGATTCATTGCAAATGTTTGTCTTTTAGCGAAATAACTTGATCCACCTTTAAAACCAATTCACTTTTTGCACTTATTTCTCAATCTCTCCAAGCACCTGGATTTATTTTGCTCTATAGGGATGGGAATTATGTGGAATTTAACGATTAATGATTTCAGGTCCATAACGGTTGCACTGACGATCCTTTTTGTTAATTATTGTGGGAGAAACAATGCACATTGTTTAAAAAACTATTCCTATTCACAACCTTCAGACGACCCTTCAGTAGCAATTTATTTTACAAAATTAATATTTTTATTCCTCAAAAGAGTTCTATTATGAATAAATGCTGTTCTTTTGAACTTTCTATTTACCAAAGAATCCTAACATTTTTTTATTAGTTTCCACAGAAATATGAAGCAGCACAACTTTTTTCACCATTGATAATATTAATAAATGTTTGTTGAGCAGCAAATCAGCATATTAGAATGATTTCTGAGGGATCACTGAAGACTAGAGAAATTATGCTGAAAATTCAGATTTGATCGCAGAAATAAATGACATTTTTACATGTATTCAAATAGAAAACAGTTATTTTAAATTATAATAATATTTCACGATATTACTGGTTTTACTTTATTTTTGATCTAATAAATGCAGCCTTGGTGAGCAGAAGAGATTCTTTCAAAAACATAAAAAAAATGTTACCAACTCCAAGATCACAAAATGATGTTTTAATCTCAAGAAAACACTGTATCATCGTTTTCATTTAATATCCTGTTTCATTCGCAAGTGTCACATCATGGGTTGCAAATGTTGACTTTAACCTGATGTGTTTTATCTCTGCATTTCCTCTTCTGTTTAATTCTAACCACTAACCAATCAACTCTTCTTTTCAGCTGCGTCATAACAACTTTATGTTAACCCTCTATGATTTGACAATCTGCCATGTGTATGTATGTATATTGACAGCACATGTGTTTGTTTCTCATAGGAAAGCCCATGTCCTTCCTCACTCCCTACTGATGGAAAGCAATTTTTCCTTTCCAAGACTGTGTCAAGGTAAATCTGTGTGTGTGTGTGTGTGTGTGAGCTTGTGTGCACATGCATGTCTATAATTATCCAGCTTAGATCAACATGAATTCCATGCTGGCTCAGGCTGGTTTATGGTTGTTAGTACTGGTCAAGCTGATGGAACCAGCACTACCATGCTAATTTTAGTCTTAATTTTGGTAAAATCACTGTAATGCATTGGCAGACCAATCAGTTAGCATTATAGTGCTGTGTGTTTTTGTAATCATATCTAACAGCTCTCTTTCGCTTTCTCCTAGTCAGGATTTAAACCCCTTTAAGAAGACTGTGCCTCAGATTAGAATCGATTTGGACCCTGACAACAACAAATTCTTCTGGAAAACTCCAGCCTCCGAAACGTCTCTTTAAACACTCCTGAAAACACTTTCACACATACACTTTTAGGTCCAGATGATGGTTTGGTCAATCAGCTAAACAAGAATGTTTCTTTTTAAAGCCCAAAAAAGACAAATGTCATTTTGACACTACAACCAATAGCTGCACAAACACAAACTCTTTACCAAAGAGTTTTTAAAACTTTATTTAATTTTTGAGCTCCTCAGTATGTCCTTCTGACGTTTTGGTAGCATTACTGTTGGAAAGTTGAAAAAAGTCTTTTTTTCTAACGATTTATTTTTAGGTTCTGGGTCCAGACTGATTTTTTTCCAATCATTTTTTAACTTTTATAACCATATTTTATTAAACAGAAAGCATGTCAGAATGATGTCATAATCAGTCTTAATAGCGTAGAAAAAAATCATGTATAAAACAAAACAAATTTGAGGTTTGAGTTTTCTTTTGGCTAAAGTACTGCACTTCATTCAAATGAGCACATTAGATAAAATTTTCTAAAAATACCAATGAACAAATTCACTTTTCTATGGAAGCCACAGAATAAAAAAATACAAATGGTAATTGTTACTTATTTCTCAATTCTTTTTTTTTTATATAGCTCATAATTCCGACTGTTATTCTCAGAATTCAAATTTTTTTATGTGACAATTTTGAGAAAAAAAGTCAGAATTGTGAGATTTAAACAGAATTGCAAGAACAAATTCAGAATTGAATTACCATATTTATTTTTCAATTGCGTAAACAGGCTTCCATAGTTTTAGTATGTTTTTTTTTTCTCCGAAAACTCAAACCTTTAGTCTTTTAGAAGTGTATTTAAGCGTATATTATTACTAAACCACAATGGTGGCCGTAACTATTTATCCCAATAAGGGAAACTGCAGTTTTAAAGACAATTTTTCCCCTTGTTCTTAACAAGACACTTAAAGTGGGAAACACTCATGAATACAATGAATATGATTTTCTAGTTCTACCTCTTATAATGGACTGTAGGTGCCAGGCACTCTGTGTTTGAGTGAAGCATTTCTCTATGCAGTATGTAACGGATGTCAACGGCAATCTTAAAGTCACGTGACGGGAAGAGCGGGAACCGCGCTGGATGCCTCTTGACTAAATTCCCTCTGCCCTTTTGTGAACTCCAAATCTGTTTCTTCGTTCGTAAATGACAATCCATAACAGGGCGGATACTTTCAATGTGATTGCGTTTAATGTATTTACTATGAAGCAGATGATTTATGGTGATTTTATTATCTGGATATTTTTATTGTACTTTTTTTTTTTTTTTTTTAAAGAAGCAATGCTGTAGATAGCGACGTCTTTTATACTGAGATGAAACGCTGAGAGGTGTAAGGACTCAATAAATGAGATTTAATGTGGAACAGCTGCACCGAGTGACAGCAATAAGCAAATTTCCTTGTTTTTGTGTGTGTGGGAACTTAAATACTGCCATTAAGATCATTTTCTCTTACGTTCAGCACAAGGATATTTCAGTCGGCAAATCTGGTGTAGAATATTTTTTAAACATCACAACATATATATATATATATATATATATATATAAACGCCACAGTCGTTAAAACTTGAATTTAGAGACACAAGTCAGTGTTTGTACATAGATCTGTTTATCATCATCATCTCTGATCAACAATGTCTTCCATTTCTTTTGATTGTATCGCATTGCCTGTGCATTTTCAATGACTGAACTGTTTTAGCCAGATGCATATGTAGTGTGAAATGGTGTTTTCATAAATCATTTCTTTTAGATGCTGTTTTTTAAAACCTAATATGGAGATGTATTTATTGTCCTTAATTCTCTTCTGGAAGCTGTCTTACTCTCTGATTATGACGCTACATGCAATAATGAGATTAACAGTTGATCGCTGTTCTGTAAAAGGGAATCACCCTGTAGCACTGTGAGGCGATGGGCAAATTAAAGCAATTATTAAACTTCTTTCTGGTGGTGTGATGCATTCAAATTAGCTTTTATGTGTTGGATGTATACTTCACTACACACAAATGACATAAAGACGCTATTTTGTTTGATTTAAAGCCATGGTCTTAAAGGGGGCATAGGATGCCCATTTTCCACAAGTTGATATGATTCTTTAGGGTCCTAATGAAAAGTCTGTAACATAGTTTGGTTAAAATTTCTCAATGGTAGTGTAAAAAACACCTTTTTTTACCCTGTCAAAAACAGCTCTTTTCAGATCAAGCAGTTTTTGTAGCATTTTCCTTTAAATGTTAATGAGCTCTGCTGACCCCGCCCCTCT